GTGATGCATCACAGCACTTTGTCTAGCTGAGGAACCTTCGAGTTCATTTAGCGCCTATAAAGAGCTGGCCCTCGTCTCTGCAAGTCAGCATTGCAGCCCTCCTCTCTCTCTCAGTTTTTGGACAGTTGTTGCCCGGATGATGTCATGCTCTGTTGTCTGCCTGAGGGCTGTGGCCCCCCCGCCCCCCGGCCAGTGAGGGGCTCCCCTGAAAGAGGACAAAAGCAGGAAGCAGGTAAAAATGGGCCCTGAGCCTTCCCTCCCTGAAGGGAACTGTGAAGGACATGCAGTGCCAGGGGCTCTCCCCCCAGCATCTCTCTACTTCCAGAGGTGTCACTCGAGAAAGTAGCCCACTGCAGCTTCCTGGTCTCTTCCCTAGGCCATTGCTCCTCTGAGGCTCCCCCCCTCCACACACTGGCATCTCCGGCACACACTGACCCTTGTCATGCCCCCAACACTTCTTCAAGCCTCCCCAACCCCCATCCCAGTTCTTGGGGATTCCCATCAAGGAAGTCAGCAAAGCAGAAATTCTGATTTGATTGTTGGGGAGTGAGGCCCAGGCACCGTTTGTTGGCGTCTTTTCTCAAAGCTCCTGGGTAGTTCTAATGTGCACAGGCTTAATGTATTAACTTTCCCAGGGGCGTCTGCATCTTAAGTAGCTCAAAGATTGGAGAGATGATAGTCGAATGGTCGAGTTCCAAGGCAGCTGTGCTAGGAGGAACAGCGTACAGAAAAGTATCAGAAGAATTGAGTCTGGAATTCCGCTCCTTCTCTGCCACATTGTGTTCCTCTTCCCAATTTGCAAATGTAGCCAGAGGTGACCCTATAGTGGCTAAGAAGCCACTTTGAGACTGTAAGGATCCACACGGCTCAGGTCTATTTAGACCTATGAAGAAACACCCACTGCTTACAGGGAGGGCTTCATGACCAAGGGAGGCTGGTGAAGGTGGAGAGGGAAGGGGCCCCAGAGGCACTCAGCAGTGTGGCTCAGGCTGAATGTCCACACTGAAGCTGACTCCTTGCCGTAGGACATCTACTTGACAGAGCGTGGCTTTCCCCTTCCCTAGCTGGCTGTGTGATCGGTCTAGCTTCCCTGTAGGCTGCATTTCAATCTCTCCTCTGTAAGACCAGATGCTGTAGCCTGCTCTGCCAGTTGTGGAGCCAGCCAGACCCAGGTGTGAGTCCTGGGGAGGGGTCCTGAGGCCCATGAGCCAGGAGCTCCTTGTGCAGTGGAAGGAAAAGGAATAGAAAGGTCAGCTCAACCCCTGAGGGCCTCAGCAACTCCAGCACAGGCTGGTGCTCCACAAGGCTGGGGGAGCAGGCAGGAAGGCTGGAGCCCATCACTGAGAGGTCCACTGCACCCTGCTGCCAAGGGTAACCACAGCCAGGAAGAACCAGGGTCCATCCATAGCTGTGGGGCCAGCAGACGGCAGGGGGCTGCTCAGTGCCCTCTGTATTGCACTGCCCTGCTGAGGCACTGTGCACAGCTAGTATTCAGTCCTTGGGGAGCAGCAGCACAGCCAGTCTCTCCCAGCCCCAGCCACCACGGTCCTGTGCAGACTGTGGCCATCTGGCCTGCTCTCAGCAGCAGTGCTCTGGACCAGTGTGGATGCAGGGAGCCCAGGCCCACAGCTGCTCCAGGCCCTCACTCCACAGCATCCACACCAGGGACAGAGCTGTTGCTTTCTATCCATGGCTTTAGGCTGTGACTGTAGGGTACCTGGGCAATCTGGTCAGCCAGACCTTAAGGCCTCAGGAAGCTAGAGACACATCCTTCAGGATTAGGGATAGGGCAGAGCCATGGGGTTTATCAGACAGCTAGGGGTAGCCTTCTCCAGGGTACAGAGGGGCCTGGCTGGCAATCCCAGACAGAAATGGAGCAGGAGAAACTCAAGTTACCAAAACTGGAATAATTAAGGAAAAAAATGAAACTCGATGACTGGATGGAAAGAGACTGTGTGGAATGATTATAAGGAAGAGAAACCAAAGGCAAGGGCTACTGGGAAGAGGAAATAAGACTGGAAGTGAAGGCAGGAGTTGGGTAGGGCCGTCAGAGCTGGAGCTGCAGGACTCCTGGTTCAAATTGGAGGGGGAGGGATATAGGGGTGGGGCAGAAACTGGTGAGGGGAGGTGTGTGGATAGTCAGAAGATGAGCCAAAGAGGCTAGTCCTGCTTCTGGGTCCTTCCAACCTGCGACTGTGGAATTTCCCAAACTGCCCAGGCCCAAGCACAAGGCAGAGTGAGGACGCCATCTAGCGGCAGGGGCTGGAAGGGGGGAAGGGGTAGTGTGGGCCCAGTAAGCCACCTCCTGGGGGCGGGGGGCAGAAGACAGGAGCAACCGGAGCTCAGGGGGAGTAGATGGGAGTATCAGATAGAAGGATGAAGGGAAGGAGGGAGGGAGGGATGTGAATGACCAGCAGAAAAAGAACAGAGCCTAGACAAATCAGAAATGGACCCAGGATGTCTGTCCCTGTAAGAAGAGGCTGGGGTTTGGAACCTCTGACTGGCACAGGGAGGGGCTCAAATTTTCTGGAGGGGGAAAGGCAAAGAGAGGGAGCCATCTGGTGTCTGGAGGTGGAAGGCAGCGGTGTCTGGAAGTGGGGAGTGGGTGGGATGGACCAGGAAGCAGGGCTGAGGGCAGAGGCTGCAGCTTCTCTGTGCAGCTCAGCCTGGCACCCTGGTTTCCAAGACAATAAGTATAGACTGGGATTGCTTTTTGTCCAGGATTCCCTCCGCCACCTAAGACAGGAACCAAACCCTCCAAAGTAAGGCATCAGTTGGCAGGTTTTATGGTGAATCCTTATTTTATTGTTAAAGATCCAGCCAGTCCCCAGGAAGTCTGGCCCCTGACCTGACCTCCAGTTGTCCAGGGCTGGTGAACAAGGAAGTGACATCCCTGTCCCTAGGGGTGGGGAGGCCAGACAAAACCTCCCTGGTAGATACTTACTCTCTCCATTGTCAGTCAAGACGGAGATGACCATGCCTGGGGGCGTTTTGCTTCCCAAATTCTTCCCCCTCCACATACACATGGCCTGCAAGTCTTCTCGACCACCCTGAAGGATCCTACAGGGTACCAAGAAGAGGAGAGCAGTCTGTAGCAGCTTCCTGCTGGTCTGCGCTCAAGACCTCCATTCAGGAGGGGCAAGAGCCACAAAGAGCAGGGAAAGAGAAGAGCCTGGGGCAATGAGGGGCCCTCACCACCCAGTTATATGACATCCACATAGGGTGGAGAAGGAGTCCTGTTCACATCCGTGTTTTCCTGCGAGCACGGTGTATACAACCCACAGAGACTACTTTCCCACCTGACCCTGGGGGACTGCCTTTGAGTCTTCAAAATCATAGACCAGAAAAGCAAGGGAGGTAGGGATGGAGACCTTGGATCAACCATCAAGGGGGGGGGGGGCGGATCCAGAGAATGAAGCCAAAGGATGCTGTCTGGTGAGACCCACTATTGGCATCTCCTGAGGTGCACCTCTCCTCTCTCCACCCTCCCCCTAAAACAAAAACAGAAACTAAAGTTTACCTGTGAAGGGGATTGAGGAAGGTTCCATTTTGTAAGGATCTGCTTCAGGCTGTACCTATCCACTGCAGGGAGGGAGGGGCCGGGGACCCCACAGGGCAACGTGGGAGAGCCCAGTTCTTCCTCAGGGTGGGTATCCCAATCCACATGGATAACCCTTGCCACCTTACCCTGTTCTAGAGGAATTCTTGTATGTGAGTAGGATGGGGGAGGGAGCAGAGCACTTGGACATGTTCCGTTAAAAAAGAGGATTTTATTTCTCTGGTTTAATTGGGACTTTTTTGAGATTTTTTTTTTTCTGAAAGAAATGAGGAGATTGAAGAGTAAATATTGCCGACCTCTAGGCACTGTGTCCTCTTCTTTGACCTGAGCAGTGTCCCCCGGGGTCCCTAAGACCCAAGGACCTGGCTGTCTTCTGTCCTTGAGGACTGGCCTGCAGCGCTCCACTGGAAGCCTGCTTACTGTGTTGGGTGCTGGCTGTGGCAAGAAGCCTGAATTCCACATTCAAGGCACCCTAGCCCCCTGCACTTCGCGCCAGTCCATCCTACTGGTGGTGCAGGTGGTGTGCAAAGCCTTGACTATTGCTGCACCAGCTCCCTTCTCCCTGCTGGGGTGCAGCACCCAAACACACTGGGCCCACAATCCTGCGCTCCCTCAGTCCACTAAGCATCACTCCATCCTCCCATCCTCAGAGGTTCACAAAAGGCAGGAGCTGAGACACAGTGAACGGGGCAGATTTTCAAGTTTCTCTAAGGCAAGGTAAGTAGCAATGCTCAAAGTTGTGGTCACTCATAATCCCCCCCGTCCAAGGCTAGCATTCAGTGACGACTCCTTCCTCAGAACTCAGAGTCGCCCAGCCTGCATGGTGAAGTCTCTCAAGGGAAAATGAAATAAGAGCTGGACAGCTTTGCCTTCAAACATTACAGACTGTTTGATGATTGAAGCTTGAGGGGGGGGGTCGAGACTGTCCTTTAAAAACTTCTGTTGGTTTTAACTGGAGCACCTACCATTCCAGAGAAAGTAAGGGGGAAACACAGAGAGTACACAAAGCAGGCAGTAATTGATGTTATCCTGAGGAACAAGCCTCCGCCCTCCCTACCACCTTTATCTTAGTAAAGACCTTTTTTTTTTAAAAACTCAAAGCCTTCAGGTGAATATAAAGCAAGAGCAGCAATAGAAAAAAAAATGTAGTCTTCTTCAGGGTTAACATCAGAAGACAAGCTTCTGCGGCTGTAGCCAATCAGCTGCGTCCCTACCAGCTATAATATAGTGCGAAAGGCAGCCCTTTCACAAGCTCTCCAGGCTTTCTACCATTTCAAACCAGGCTCTTTTTGTCTTTTAATTGCTGTCTCGAGACCCAACTCCGATGTGTTCCGTTATCAGCGACCCGCAGCCTGCCACTGCAGCCCCTGTCTGGGTGGGGATCGGCGGAGAGTCCCCTGCTGCAGCAGCCGGCAAGGTTATATAGGAAGAAAAAGAAGCAGGCAGCGCGGGAGGGAGCGAGCGAGCCGAGCCAGGAAGGGAGAGCGCACACGCACACACCCGCGCGCACTCGCTCGCGCACAAACCCGCGCGGGGACAGCTCGGAAGTCGTCGGTTCCGTGGACGAGATGCTGCTGCTGGCGAGATGTCTGCTGGTGGTCCTCGTCTCCTCGCTGCTCGTGTGCTCGGGGCTGGCGTGTGGACCCGGCAGGGGATTTGGGAAGAGACGGCACCCCAAAAAGCTGACCCCTTTAGCCTACAAGCAGTTTATCCCCAACGTAGCGGAGAAGACCCTGGGGGCCAGCGGCAGATACGAAGGCAAGATCTCCAGAAACTCGGAGCGATTTAAGGAACTCACCCCCAATTACAACCCCGACATCATATTTAAAGATGAGGAAAACACCGGAGCGGACCGGCTGATGACTCAGGTAGAAACCCAGCGCGGGGCGTGGAATGTGTTCCTTCCGAGGGGGTTGTGCGTGACCAGGCAGTCGGACTTACTCTGTTTGCTCTTTGGGCAGAGAGGAAGGAAGGCGGTTTGGCCCTCTCCCTCTCCACCCACCTGCCCACCTAGCACCTTTCCTCTTCCGGGAGGAGAATGGAGGTTAAGGGTCCGGCAGGGAAGTTTAGGGTGTGGGTGAGGTGAGAACACCAGGAATGTGGTCCATAGGGCCCTGCTTGCATTAGCCTTGCTAGGGTGGCCTCCCCTAGTCTGCCTCTGCTCCAGCTTGTAACTTAGGGAGACCTTCACTTTAGGGGACATCTGCCCTCCCCAAGTAGAGAGTGGAACTGGAGGGAGAAAGCAGGAATGCCCTGGTAAACATAAAGTGACCTCCTCCACGTCCCTGTACAAAGCTAGCCTTGACCATTAGAACGCATAGCCTACACGTTTCTTTCCTGTGGGTTTTTTCTTCCCCTAAGACTACCCTCACCTTCTCCCCCCCACCCCCACCAGACTCCTAACTGGAAAAGCCAAAGGACAGTTTTGACAAAAGGCAGGGGCTCCGGAGGGGGCAGGCTGGTCCCCCACTGTATCACATAAGTGGCACTGCTCCAGTTGTGCCCATCAGAGTGGGGATGTATTGATAGTTCTTAAAGGATGCTCTTTCCTTCTCCAGAGCCCGCGGTACCTTAGGGGAGGGACTTAGAACTTATTGGCACTGCATCACTTTAGTTTTCAACCTGCTTGCATAAGAATTAGGAGCGAATAAATATTAGTGACGGTGGGGGTGGGTGCAAGGAGAAGCAAAGCAAAACATGAATTCCTCTCTCTGTTCCACCTCCTTTGAGACTTCTGGGCTGCCAATCTCCCAGCCGATTCTAGACTTTCTGAAAGTCCATGCACGTAGAACTGAAGCTAGAAATGGGTTTCCTTTCAAATATAGGTCAACATCCTTTTTACTGCCCTATTAAAATATTCAAGTCCTACCTTTAGGGCTAGGTGCGCCAAGCGGCTGACAGAGCGAGCGGCGCTGGCTGGGCGCAAGTGCAGGGGGCGGGGGCCGGCGGGCGGGAGGGAGAGAGCAGCTGCCTCCTCGCGGCGCGGCTCGCGACCCGGTCCCAGGGCTGGCTGGGGAGCAGCGAAGGAGACTGGCGGCCGGATAGCCGGCTAGAGCAGGCGGAAAGGAGGGGAGTAGGAAATGAAGGCAGGATCCTTTTTCCCTCTCCGACCACCTTAAATCTGGACCGCGGGTGTGGACGCGCGCGCCTGAGCCCCTAGAGCAGCGCGAGCCACAGTTAACTCTGCGCGGGCCACCGGCGCCCGGTGCGCGCAGCTGGCCGAAGGGAGTTCTCCAGCCAACCCCGGGCGCCATCCCCTTGTCACTCTCACTCCCCACGGAGGAGGGGTCTTCTCCAGAACCTTCCGAATCCGAGAGGAGGGAGGCGATGCAAAAGAAATCGACCTGAGCCAGGACATCCGAGGTCCCACATCCGGAGCGGGCCAGCTCAAGGCGCGCGTCAGAGAGGGGGTCCTCGGCCTTGAGCCCCAGCCGAGCGCCTCGCCGCCTGCTGCGAGCGCGCAGAGCCGCGCACAGAAGCAGACGCAGTTCAGCTCCACTTACACCCTGGTGATCGATCCCGCGGCTAGGGTTTCAGTGCGCGCGGGGCTGGGCTCGGGCCGCCAGTCCCTGCCGCTCCACGCGCAGAGCGCGGGCCCCGCAAGAGCTCAGAGCAGGGCTCCTAATTACCCTGGCGACGGAGGCGGGGGTTGGGGAGCGAGGAGCGGCGGGTGAGGGGGGCGGTGGTTCACGGGCCGGGTGCAGCGCTGGCTCCCCGAGCCTGTCCCTTGCCGCACCCACTGCCCGCCCACCGCCTCCCGGTCCCCTTGGCCTCGGCGCCCCAACCAGAGCCCCTAGCCGGATCCCTCCCCCCACCCAGGTCTCGGGGCTGGAGAACCAGGGCCGAGGAACCCCACACCCAGCCACTCTCGCCATCGCGCGCGCGGGCAGCATTTGAACTTCTGACCTTCTGTCAACTTCCCTCAGACGAACGAAACGAAAACAAATACTTTTTTTCCTTCGGCAGTGGCTATTCTCGTTCCCAACACAAAAGGAGGGGGTAGAGACAGCCCAGGTGGGGGTGGGGTGGAGAGAGCCAGGCCGAGATCCTTGCACCGTTCTACAAAGGTCCCCCAAAAATGGGGATGGGTGGAGATGTGGCGGTCTGAGGTGCCCCTTGGTGCACTCTCCCCGTGCCTCTTTTTCCCCGGATTCAGAGTTCAGGGGGGGAAGGGGGGAGGGGACCGGGTGGTGAGAGGGAGCTGGGGTAAAGGAGTGAAACCCCGGAATCGCCCAGGCCCACAGGAGGTGTGTGCTCCTCGGAGCACCCGCCACACGCTGGCCCCTCGTTTTCAATAACCACCCTTTAAGGGGCCCAGGTGTGCGCCCCTCTCCTCTGTCTCGCCTCCCTCCCTGTCTGTCTCTAATGTGACTGCCGCCCAAGTCCCTCAACCGTGGCAAGATCGTCCCCAGTGGAACTTTCAGAGCAGTTCTGGAACGCAGGAGCTCCTGGTTAATATTAACTCGAGAGAGGGAAGCTCAGACAGACACTCTCCCCGCGCAGGCCAGGCCTCGGGTGCCAGGCCAGGGTGCCGGCGGCCTGGGAGCTGGGGCGGGAGGCCTCGAGGGGCCTGATCTGCAGGCTCTGCAGGCTGAAATGGGCGGACCACCTGAGGCGCCACGTTGAATCGATTTCCTGCGTGCTTTGGGACTGCTAGGCAAAGGCGCTCAGGTGTGGGCTCCAGAGGGGTTTTCTGTTTTGACCTGAGGGTCCCGGTTTCAGCGAGACCTCGGCGAGAGACGCGTTTAGGGACTGGGGTCTCTTTTGAAGCTGGGACTCCTTTGCACTGGGATAAGCCCACCATTGGCAGTGACCGTCCCTGCTCTGCGCTACTAGGCCGGTGCGGTTGTGCCGATCGGGGAGGTGGGCAGGAGCTCAGGCGTGAGGAACAACTTGGCCTCCGCCGACACAAAGCCCGGCCCCGGCGGTCCTGCTGGGCTTCACGGTGGCTGCACCGAGTCGAGCATGATTCGCGGCACACGACCCAATGAATTAATAACCGTCCTAGGCTTCCCGGCTTTGCCTGAGACAATCCCTCCCAGTCCGGGCGGGGGAGCGGAGCGTCCTGCAGCCTCCAGCTGAGGCCGCGCGGGGCTCGGTGGTACCGGGGAACGCGCGGGGGCACCGGGTGCCTACTCGGCGACCCGCGGCCTCTGCCTGACTGGGTCTCCCGGCCTGGCTCAGCCTGGGGCTCCTCGCCTGGGGACCTCCATGCCTGCATAAGTGGCGCAGCTCAGGGTGCTGCACCCATCTCCCCCGCGGTCTTCCCCAAGCTGCCCCCTTCATGTCCCAGGCTGCCGGGTGGGAAACTGCTTAAAGCCGCATCGCTTCCCCCCTCGCAAGAGAAGGGAGCCGGGGTGGGGTGGGGGCTGGAATGGGGGGTGGCGATGTGCGTGTGCGTATCGTGGTGTGCGCCTGCGCGCACCGGCTTCAAATCCCGGCTCTCAACTGACCCTGGTTTACTGATTGATTTTCATGTAAAAAGCGTTCAATCCTCAAGATGACCTCACTCAAACTCTGCCCTTCGGACTTTTTTTTTCCTTAAAGAACACTGCTGGCAGGCCCAGAAACCTGCAAGCGCTGACCTGTTACCAGGGCCGCCCCCAATCTCCCAGCCTCCTCCATTTGTTGTATGTTTAACTCTACAACCATATTCCTGGTTTTTATTGCTGCCAGATCCACAAGACTTTCCCTGTTGCGCAATTTGTCAGTCCCCTGAAAGCGCGGGCAGCAGTCCTTACAAGAGTTCTCTGACCTTTGCACAAGTGCTCCTCGCTATAATTAGGGCCCTGCAGAGGGGCCGTCTTCCCATCCAGGTAACCCATTTCCAAGCAGAGAGCCCCTCTCCACCTGGAGGAGGTGGAGATATGCCCTACCCTCTGCAGAAGTCGAGTTGAAATTGCTTCTCTTGCCTCCACCTGAGTCCGCTTCTCTCTGAGATGTGCCTGTCATTTTTTACCAGTTCCCGCCCCTCTTTCGAGTCCAAAAGCCCACCAGCAGCAGTATAGACGGCTAGGCAGTGAGTTAGCAGACACACACACACACACACACACACACACACACAGAGAGAGAGAGAGAGAGAGAGAGAGGAAGAGAGAGCTCTCTCTTTTTTTTTTTTTTAAGAGGGAGCCTCCTCAAGGCCAGGACTCCAGGTTCTGGCCTTTCTGGCTCCCCATCCCCCACCTCTTCTCCTGCCCCGCCCCCCTTCACCTTCTGAGTTTGTTCTTCAAACTTGCTGGACACCATTCTGCACTGGGGCCAAGAAGACAAGCAGGGAGGAAGGGAACAGGTTAAAGAAAACAAGGACACAATCAGACCACAGACAAGCCTGGCAGACAGGAGTTCCATAGGGGAAGGAATGCGGCTGCCAGATCAAGAATGTTTGTCCTCTGGCCCTGCCTGTGCTGGACATCAGAACTCATCTGCTTGCCTTGCACTTGGGCCACCTCCCACCCTAAGCGTTGCTATGGGCTCCCTCACCTTTGGCTTCATTCTCACCTCAGATAGGCACAGGGTAGACGAGATAATGCAGGCCTCCCAGTCCTTTCAAAAGTGCACAGGGTGTTCTTTCTGCAAAGGTGCACCTGGCCTCTTAGGTCCCCTCCTCAGGGATTTAGCCAGAGGGAAGGTGGACCCTTGCACAGGTGTGCAGGAAGAAGACCATAGAGACTGTGCTGGGAAGTAGAGGGCATCTGAGGAGGAGTACAGCATGGCTGAGGGTGCTCCTGGAGGATTCTGGGACTGGGGTCTAAAACATACAATTTACTTGTCCCAAAGAAACCTCTCTTGCTTCTCAGATCAAGGTAGTTACGTTTGCATTCAGGTTTGGAGAAAGGCCCTCAGTTCATCCCAGAGGACTTGGTTCCTCCTGCAGCTACTGTCCCCTCCCATACCCAAGTGCCCTCCTCACCTCTCCACTGGCATAGCCCTGGCCCCTGCGTGGGTGGGTAGTGGGGCCACCAGCTAATGTGCCTGTTGGTTGGGGTCCCCCTTCTCTCCACAGAGGTGCAAAGACAAGTTAAATGCGTTGGCCATCTCTGTGATGAACCAGTGGCCTGGAGTGAAGCTACGGGTGACAGAGGGCTGGGATGAGGATGGCCACCACTCAGAGGAGTCGCTGCACTATGAGGGCCGTGCAGTAGACATCACCACCTCTGACCGAGACCGCAGCAAGTATGGCATGCTGGCCCGTCTGGCTGTGGAGGCTGGCTTCGACTGGGTCTACTATGAGTCCAAAGCACATATCCACTGCTCCGTCAAAGCAGGTAAGCCCACTTCACGCTGCCTTGCTCCACATTCCTGCCCCCACGCCAGCACAGAACCCCCAACTCCAGATCTGCCCCACAGGAAAGTTGGAGAGAAAAACAGGGGATGTGAGCCAGAGCCAGAGGGGCTCTGGGGGATGCCTGGATTTCTGCCATGGGGGCATACCTTATGAGACCTCAGCCAGGAACTGCCCTGGTCTTGGAGGCCACAAGGCCCAGAAGTTCTCACGAAGGGGGTGTGCCCAAGACAGGTGGCTTTGGAGCCCCCTACAGGTGGTGGAGATGGGGAAGAAAGAGTTGGGGTGAGGTAGCACTTTCCTGATGATTCTGCGCCTTTAGCCATGGCTAGTCTAGCTCCTTCCTCTAATTAGGGCTTAAAAATCCACCCCACCCCCAGCCCTGCACCCCCACCTTCCCACCTCCCAACCCTCCCAAGTGCAATAGGGTCTGTCCAGGGCGTAAGCCCCTGGTGCTCCCTCCGCCCTGATGGATGCCTGTGGATTCCAAACTCACTTAACTCAACTCGCTAAGCCTTTGGGGAGAGCCCTGGTGGGAGGTAATAAACCAGTAGTTACCACTCGGAACATCTGGATGCCGCACGCCCAGAAGCATCCGTTCTGATTAGGAGTCCAGCTGGGATTCGTGAGCCTCGGGCTGGACCAGGAAAGGCGATCTGGCTTGGGTTGTCGGCGGCGTGCGGCTGAGTTCCCTGGGCCTGCAACGCCACACGCTGTTGCCGGAAGGAACAGCTAAGGAAAGGCAGGCATTACCGCACACATTCAACACCCCGCTTGGGACCGTGTGCACCGATCTCGCCGTCTCTCGGCACAAGTTGACACGTTTAGCAAGGCAGTTCACAGTGAATCTCAAAGAACTCTGTCTTCCGTGTGCCCCCCCCACACACAATTTTCCCAGTTTGTTTCCTAAACTGCATTTTAATAGCACGTGTCAGTAGAAAAACAATTTTAAAGTGTCAAGGCACACTTCGTAGGTAAATACTGGTTTCTTGCAACAATAGAAGGCAAAGGCGCAGAGAAGGTGGTGGGAAAGCGGGTTTACAGCCCCTGGGCCGCTCTCAGCTCTGGGAGGAGTCGGGGAGGCGGCGCCCTCTCCCCTGGGGCTCCGCAGCAGGAGCCCGCGGCTGGGGTTCCTTTTTTTGGCCCAGGTGGGAAATACAGGCGGCCGGAGGCCCCCGACCCGGGGGCGCCCTTTCCTGGACCTCGCTGCTGCGCTGGACGCGCGGGGCCTCCTCCCCGCCACCCCTGTCCGCGGGGTCCCCCTGGCGGGGGTCCCTACGAGGTCTCCTCTGAAATGAGCAGCGGTAATCCCGCCCCGAGGGTCTCGCAGACCCCGGGCTCGGTGGGCCGCTCATTGGCATTCCGCGCACGCGAGCCGGGGCGCCGCGCCGTGCGTGTCAAGCAGGGTCGTGCGACTCGACGACTCTGGCTCGCCAGCGCCCCGGGTCGCATTCCGGGGGGCTACGGAGGGCCTCCAATGGCCAGCCCCGCACTTCATGACGGAGAAACCGATGAGAAGATTAAAAACCTCTGTAATTCCAGCAGGAAGGTTCTTTTCTTGCAATCTCTATTTGCAAAAAGCATGATCCCGGAGATTGGAATGCAAAGAAGACGGGGACCTCCCGCCCCTCCTCCCCGGCCCCCGCGCTCCGCCCCAACCTCAATTATTGTCCTTGGGACAGTGAGCCTCCAGAGCGACAGAGGGCTCGAGAAAGCGGGTAGTCAAGGGGCCTTGAGAACCGGCGCTTCCAGCGCTCAGAGCAGGCTTGGCCATTTAAAATTCAAATACACATTTCGAGTGCTTGGGAGAGAGGCCTGGCTGTGCAAATAGTGCCTGTGAGGCCCGGGATTCTGGAGAGTCCGTGTGTGAACTGCACACGGGGGGAGGGGAGGGGGTTGCACCTGAGCAAATAGGGAGGGGGCGGCCCGAGAGCTGGAGGGTGAGCTGAGAAAAAGGGGGGGGGATGGAAGTGTCCCCTCTTCCAAGAGTGTCTCCTATATTTATTCCAGAAATCACACTGACAATGCGGGTCTCTTTATTGGATTTTAATTAGAAAATCCGCACAAGCCTCGGATTTTCACACCTCGGGCAATCCGCTGGAATGCTTGTCCAGTTGCTACAACCTACAGCAGTTATTTTTCACTCCCGTCCCCCCTCCCCGCCAACAGGTCAACACCGCCGCCCGGGCCGGGTCTGGGGCCGGCCGCCGGGGTTCCCGCAGCGCAGCCTCGGTGCGGGGCGCACGGGGAGGCGCCGCGCCCAGGCCGGGGGCGGGAGAAGAGGGGGTGCGCCCTGGCGCCCGCGCGAGCTCAAGGAGGCTTCCTCAGGAATCCGAGAGTAGAGCAAATATCCTTCTGAGTTCGTGCGAGGCCGGGAGTGTGCTGAGCAGGGGGATGGGGCTGGAGGAAGGAGGAAGGCTGGGAGCGTAACCGGCCCCCTGCCGGAGACTCCTGCCAACCTTTGCACCGCCGCTGCAATCGTAAAGGGTCGTTCAGGAAGCGGCCTGCATCTGAGCTTTGCCACCGAGGCGGTGGGGGAAGGAGGGAGGTATGCACGGACTAGCCTGGAACCTACTGCCCCCCACCCCCGCTGCGGCGCGTGCACCCTGGCCCAGGCGCGCGGGGAACCCAGCCTGTGCCACCCCATCCCCTGTCTCCCGACGTACCTCCCTCTTGGGACTCAACACCCTGTCCCTTCTTCTCTCTCTTCACCGCAGAGAACTCGGTGGCGGCCAAATCGGGCGGCTGCTTCCCGGGATCGGCCACGGTGCACCTGGAGCAAGGCGGCACCAAGCTGGTGAAGGACCTGCGTCCCGGGGACCGCGTGCTGGCGGCAGACGATCAGGGCAGGCTGCTGTACAGCGACTTCCTCACCTTCCTGGACCGCGACGACCGCGCCAAGAAGGTCTTTTACGTGATCGAGACTCGGGAGCCGCGGGAGCGCCTGCTGCTCACCGCCGCGCACCTGCTCTTCGTCGCGCCGCACAACGACTCGGCCGCGGAGGAGCCCGAGGCGCCGTGGGGCGCGGGGCCGCCGCCGGGGAGCGCAGCCGACCGCCGGGCGCTCTTCGCCAGCCGCGTGCGCCCGGGCCAGCGCGTGTACGTGGTGGCCGAGCGCGACGGGGACCGCCGGCTGCTGCCGGCCGCGGTGCACAGCGTGACGCTGCGTGAGGAGGCCACGGGCTCGTACGCGCCGCTCACGGCGCACGGCACCATCCTCATCAACCGGGTGCTGGCCTCGTGCTATGCGGTCATCGAGGAGCACGGCTGGGCCCACCGGGCCTTCGCGCCCTTCCGCCTGGCGCACGCGCTGCTGGCCGCGCTGTCGCCCGCGCACACGGACCGCAGCGGCGATGGCGACGGCGATGGCGATGGCGGGGGCGGCGGCCGCGACCCCCCACCCGCGCCAGATGCGGCCGAGGCGCCCGGGGCGGGGGCGGCCGCCGGCATCCACTGGTACTCGCAGCTGCTCTACCAAATTGGCACCTGGCTGCTGGACAGCGAGTCTCTGCACCCCCTGGGCATGGCGGTCAAGTCCAGCTGAGGTCCAAGGGGACCCGGCAGCGGGCGCAGGAGGGGGCGGGGCGGGGAGCGGGAAGCCACGGCGAGATAAGGCAAAAGACAGACGCACGGAAAGAAAGAGCGCACGGAATGAGACTTTTAATTATAATAATAATAATTAATAATAATAATAACGTAGAACAGTCCAAAGTAGACTATAAGGAAACAAAGACCCCGGGGAGTTTTGTTGTTGTGTTTAGTTTATATATATATTTTTTGAACTTTTTCGTTATTGTTTTATTTTGGTTATTTTCCTTCTCTCCTGGCTATTTATTTGTTTGGTATGAATAGATGTTTTAAATAATATGAACCGGACCTTCAAGAGCCTTAACTAGTTTGTGTCTTGGATAATTTATTATCATGTGAACTGTACTCACAGGAGGAAAGATTATTTTGTGAGGCCATCCAACCTGCTCAGAGTCTATTTTTCTACATGTCCCACGTCCTGAGTGTCAGAGCGCAAACTTCTGTACTCCCCGCTCCTCCTCTGCTACGCTCCTGCTTTCGGCAAGTGTAAACTAAACCATGCTTCATGGGGGTCCACAAATTATATTTTTATACACAGAATTGTAAATTAGATTTTTTGAGAGATCAATACTTAACTGAATGACATTTCATTTTTTGAAATAGTGTAAAATATGAAAATATATTATTTTAATTTAACTAGTTTCCATTGTACCAGCCAGCTTCTGTACTGTCTTCATGGTTCAATGTTTGCTTTGTAACCATCATTTGACCATGTTCTTGGAAGCCAAGACTGTCACACACACACACACACACACACACACACACACACACTCACTTTTTTTTGGGACAAACTGGAAGAACTCTGTTATTTTTACCTTCAAAGAATTTATTAGAAAATAATATTTTTTAAACGCACACATAGTAATGAGCCCACGAGGAGCCTGTGGTTTGTACAGAGAAAAACAAAGGATGTTTTTGCATTAATAAATTGAGACATAACTGCTGTAAATTTACTAAAATGTATTTTTGAATATTTTGTAATAGTTTTATAGAAATAAAGTGTGCCACGCACGGACTGGTTAGTATATAATAACTGAGAATTCCTGTTGCAGCCCTTTCTCTTTTCTTTTGTGGCTCTTTTGTCTGGGAAACTTAGAGCCCCAATATTCTGTTTAGATGTGTTGTTTATACTGTGACTTCAGATTGGCTTACCTAGGTAACCAAAGTAGACAAACATATCCACTTGTCTGTTCCCATCCCTGGAGAAACCTCAGCTCTGTTTGTATTTGTCGTGCAAAGTTCTTCCTATCCTCTCCAAGGTTGGAGGTACTGTATGTGGGGACCTGTCTTTCCCCAGGCCCATCCCTCAGGTAGCAAAGCCTGCTTCACAGGCCCAGAGGAAGTGGGGCCCTGGGTCACACAGGATCCTTCCTTGTGTGTGACTGTCAGGAAATCTTGTGCACCTCCTCAGTCTTGCTGTCTCTGATCTGTGGGGAGGAGGTCCATAGCTGCTTTCTGAAGTCTTGCTGTGCCCTTTCCTGAAAGGGGTCCAGAGAAGGCGGCCAGGCATTGACCTCTGAACCCTTGTGGCAAGTCCTTTGGAACAGTGTTCTCCACCTGCACTTGGTGGGCTGCCTGCTAGAGGGTGGGAGCTGCCAGCGGTCCTCAGGTCATGCTGGTGCCTGTCTGGAGTGATGGGTGGCCATGGACTTTATCCCTAGGGCTCAATCAGTGCTGATGTCAACTGGGTCTGGGGGAGGGTCCCTCTGAGCTCAAATGTTGCATTGCCGGCTTGGCCAAGAGGTCTCTGCCCTTGGCTATGGTTTAGGAGCTCAGGTGACAGGTCACTCCTGGTTCTTTGGCTTATTGAAGGCATAGACCTACTTTGTGCTTTGTGCAGAAGGATCTGAGCAGGCTGGTCCTTGAAATGGTCAAGCTGTATGGGCTTGGGGCCTCTGGCCAGATGAAGCCTGACTAAGGGTGGTCCTAGCATAGGGAACAGGATCAAATGACCTCTGTCCCACTCGGCCAAGTCTGGCTCCTGAGGCAAAGCCTGTGGGGGTTTCCGCAGGAAGAAACCCAGTCCCTGGCTGGTTCTTAGTGAAAGCTGGCTTCGGAGGCCATAGCCACATAGATGGCCCTGGGGACGTGGGTTTGTCCTCTGCATGCTTCTGCAGGGTCAGCCCTCCAGGCAGGAGCAGGCCTTCATTTTACGCTGCAGACTTGTCTTTGGTCTTCAGAGCAGCGAGCAGGTTCGAAGCTGGCATTCACAGTCCTTGGTGGAGATGGCAGTCTCTGCTCTTTTGACTGTTCAAATCAAAGCTGGTCACAGGTAAACCAGGAACACTGGGCCCACCAACTCCTCTGGCTGTGTTGAGCAACCTGACCAAATAGTGGTACAGCAGTCAATCAGAAAAGGAGCAGGCTTTGCCCCAGCCTGAAGGTGCTGCTGGCCCAGGAGGCGTTCTGGTGACCAGAACCCTTGGAGCCTGGCTTCATTCAGGAGCAGCACCCAGCTGCAGGCAGCACCCTCTCCTGGAAGGGCTATGGGGAAGCCCTGCCACTTGCTTTCCCAGCCCCTCGGTCTTTTAAAGACCTTACAGTGTTACAGTAAGGCAAGGAGAGAAAGCCACAGCATGGAGAAGCCACCCCACGTGAGCAGGACGCACACATCTCATCTTCAGGGTTCATGGTACCGAGAGTTTGTGCAAAATGTATCCATGGCGCTGCTTGCTGCCAGTCCTTGGTGACTAAACGCATCTCTGTTCCTGTCAAAAGCGTGCATCAGAATGTACTTGAAACTGTATCTTTGTGCTCTGTTGTTTGAATAATTAAAGAACTTACAGAGACTCTCTGCAATGTCTGTTATGTGGCAGAATTCCTATCCCATATCATCATGGAAGTTCCTCATTCCCCTCCGCGAGGTTGTACTGCAAACGTGAAAGAAAAGTCCCACTGAGAGGGTGGTGTCCCTCTCTCAGTGAGCGGGTTGGGTCAGGTGGTAGGGATTCCCCTGTGCAATGAGATACATGACTGCTGACGGGGTTGCACAGCCGTCCTTCCCTTCTTGGTGGAATCCCTCTGCTGTCACCTCACACCCACATGGGAAATACTGGGCACACATACAAGGAATGCAGGATGGTTGCAAGATCTGGCCAGGGAATAAGCTGATGGTGGGGACTCTCTGGGGCCATAGAAAAGCTGTATCATTCATCTCTGGGTGAAATGCCCAGGAAAATGGCTTGCATGTGTCTTAGGACAATTACAAGCCATTTCGGGAGTCCTGGCTTCTCCCCTTGAACTGCTGGATATATATTCGAGGACAGAGGTGTGCAAGCTGCGGCCTCAGCACAAATCACACTGAGATTGTCTTCCACACTTTTAAATATTTAAAACAGATAATCTAAAGAAGAGCAATGTGGAAACTTACGGAACTCACGTTTCAGAGGAGTCCATCAATAAGTTTTATTGGGACACACCCATCCATGTTCATCCGTGGCAGCTTTCCCCACACACCAAAGAGCTGGTGGTTGCAGGAGAGCCCTACAAGTCCCAAATATTCACTGTCTGGGTCCCAGGCTCTCAAATTGAAACCAAGCTTGGCTTTTGAGGATGGGGGCTGGGGACGGGCTGGGTGGCAGTGGCCTGTCTGTCATCAGGGCCTATCTTTTCACTGGAATTCATAAGGTAGACCTCCCTGAGAGCCAGTGGAGGCTCACAGACCCAGGCAGGCCCGTGGGTGGCCACCCCCACCTGGTGGAGAAGCAGCAAACCTGAGTGCTAGTCAAGGGTGGTATGAGCCAGAGAGAGCACCCAGAGGGCCCAAAGACAGAGTGTGGGGACCAAGACGCCAGCAGAGGCAGCCATAGGCACTTCTTCTGAGAACATCACCCCAGCGAGGACAAAGAAGTTTGGGCTTAGAGGTAACTTCCTTTTCTTTTTTGGCTAAGCTTGATTTTCTCAAGCTCTAGAAGCAAATCTGTGTAACTCACATTTTCTTACACAAGCAGACACTGGGGCCTGTCCGGGGAGGAGGGGAGATGGCGTGGAGGAACGCACTTCCACAGCCGCTTCAGTTTCCAGGACGCAGCTGCCTCTTCGGATGAGGCTGAGAAGTGCAACGCTGAAGATAAAGTACAAGAGACATTAAGCTGCAAATGAAAGAAAAACCGCCATCCCCAGTTTGGTTTCTGGATGGAGTCCTATGTGCAACGTGAGGATCTGCTGTGGCTTCCTAGGGACACAGACACCTTTTCGCCTGGACGCCAAGCCTCAGCCCAGCTGGACAGTCCCTCCTGCTGGTGGGAGCATAGCTCGAGGACTCACTTCCAGATCTCCAGATCCCGAGGCACCCGGCATCCAGTGACTCTGGGAGGAATCTCAAGTTCCTGGGCCCTGTTTCACAAAGATCTGAGCAGCTGACATCCCGGCGGGGACCACGAAACTGTGGGACCTGCTCAGTTTTGATCCCTGGTATTCTATGGCTTGCTGTCCCTTCTGCTCTGTGACCCACAGGAAAAGGCATGATCACCTGCCAGTACTGGGCCTCTGGGTCCTGTATCCAAAGGTGCCCCACATGGGGCCCCCCCACCCCAAGCCTGGTGCTGCTCCAGAGCCATGTGGCACAACGTCTGCCACCGCCAGCAGCCAGCATCCACTTCTGCGTTGTATTTGAGCCTGTCCACCTGAGAGTAAGCAGGCTCCATTCGTGCCCTCCCGGCACCCTTGTGTGCTCACATGGTCAGGGCGTGACCTCTGGTGCTCCATGGCCAGCTGCTGGCAGCCAGTCCCACCAATGCGGTCTTTGCCTTCTGGGGCCGGGCCACCCAAGGGCAGCACCAGAGGCAAGGTATACAGGCAAGCTCCATTTCTCTTTGGGAGATCTTCACAGAGCCGGCCTCCTGCCATCCTCCGGTGGAAGCTGGGAGCTCCCTGCCCCCTTCTGAGCCAGGCATAAAAGGTGCTGCTAGCAGAGGGGTGGGCTCTGGGGGATTTCACTTACCCACATCTGAATGAATCCTCTTCTTTCTGCCTTGCATCTCTTTCCTCAGATGCACTGGTGTGGACAAGTGGGTGCCCTGCACTAATGCAGCCCCCATTTCCTCTCAGGGACTTAACTCCAGTAAAGGAGCAGGGCACTCTTCCCTGCGTGGAGGCCGGGCGCCCTCTGGTGGTGAAGTTGGAAAGGTGGATGAGGCCTTGGAGCCCAATGGCTTAGGAGCGCTGATCAGAACCAGTGCTCCAAAGCACCTTTAAGAGGAAGGCAGAGATTAAGGGAGGCTGAGGCTGGAGAGGAGAAGAAGGAAGGAAAAGGAGGGAAGGCAGATGGTTCCAGGGTTGAGCCTCTCCGGAAAACCAGAAGAGGGCTGGGAAGAGAACTGAGGCACAACCGGACTTCAGCAGCGAGCAGGAGAGTGCTGGCTGGCCGGAGGAATCGCCCAGCAGAGAAAGGGTTCATCATCAGGTAATACCACCATGTGGGGAAGTGGGGAAACAGAGGCATGTGAGATGCCCCCCGAGGTGCACGAAGAAGTCTTCCAGGGCAAAGACAGGGACATGCAGGCCTGAGGAGTCCCAGCAGTCACTGAGTTGAGAGAACCCTGGACACACGAAGTGACTTCACAACACTGGCAAAGCTTGGAGATAGACTGCAGGTTCCATTCCTGACACCCCAATAAGGCAAACTCTGCAGCACGCTGT